TTGCTCTGACAAGAGGCACCCCAGATAGTATTAATGTTATTTTGTCCTCACATGTAAACACCTGCAATCGACTTTTGTGAGTTTTTCCCTCCATTTCTTATAATGTTCAGTGAGAAGCGCACGCCAAAAGATTAAATTTTGTAATCTTTTCGCTAGGGTTCACCCAAAGTTCATTTCCGCAGACTGGCAACGCTATGGAATTTTCTGGTATTTTTTCGTCGATCTGTGGACCGACGTGAAAAAGGCCTGACGAAAAGTGAACGCCAGCTGTTTGCCTCTCGCTCTCTGACTGGCGTACGGTTTTCGTCGATCTGGATACTAGGCTTAACTGCTTGTCAACAAGCCCAGCTGATTGACGAAAAAATACCAGAAAATTACATCGCATTGCCAACCACCTGAAATGAACTTTTGGTGAAACCTAGCGAAAAGAATAAAAAAATTTAATCTTTTGGCGTGCGCTTCTTACTGAACATTTTAACAAGAAAGGAAAGCTAACTTCGGGCGGAGCCGAAGTTGATATACCCTTGCAGAATACTCTGTAAATTATATGCTTCAAAATTATTCATATGATGCATTCTTAATACTTATAAAAAGTCCCAACTTCCTAACTTTAAAAACACCAAAGTTATGGCATTTTCGATCAATCAGTTATATGGCAGCTATAGGATATAGTCGGCCGATCCTTATGAACTTTGGTAGGTCGGATTTATTGGCCAAAAATAAAACCCATAGAAAATCCCAACTTCCTAACTTAACAAACACCAAAGTTATGGCATTTCAGATCAATCAGTTATATGGCGGCTATAGGATATAGTCGGCCGATCCTTATGAAATTTGGCAGGTCGGATTGATTGGCCAAATATAAAACACATAGAAAATTGCAACTTCCTAACTTTACAAACACCAAAGTTATGGCATTTCCGATCAATCAGTTATATGGCAGCTATAGGATATAGTCGGCCGATCCCGGCCGTTGCGTGCAAAGGAAAGAAGGCTGTGTTCAAAGTTTCAACTCGATAGCTTTAAAACTGAGAGACTAGTTTGCGTAGAAACAGACAGACGGACAGACGGACATGGCTATTTCAACTCAGGAGGTGATCCTGATCAAGAATATATATACTTTATAGGGTCGGAGATGTCTCCTTCACTGCGTTGCACACTTTTGACCAAAATTATAATACCCTCTGCAAGGGTATAAAAATGCAGGGAGAAAAATCAAAAAACCAGCAAAAGTCGATTGCCGGAGTTTACATGTGAGTGCAAAATAACATTATTAGTATCTGGGGTGCCTCTTGTCAGAGCAAAGTGTTTCTTAGGTCATAAATGTACGAAAAAACACAATAAAAGTGCAGCTATTAACTTTAAATTAGCAAATAATTATCAGTTAATTAAAAAAAAAAAACAACTGTGCAATTTAAATTGTATTGTTTTTTAAATTCTTTGTACAGCGGCAGAATTGTCATAGTTGATAATATTATTTAAAGGCTCTTTCCCGCAAATGCCAAATTTAAATTTTAACTGTTTGTCAACAAACCCAGTACGACCGTAGCACGCTTAGTTCGATTGTTTGTCGATCTGAAAATTAGGCTTAACAAAACAAAAACAAAGTACAGTTCGATCAGTACCGTGATGGACTGAATGGCTCTCATATACAGTGCTGCAAATTTAGCTTTTTTCCCGTCAAATCCGGCTTTTTCCAAAGTCGTAATGCGGGAAAAATTGGGAATTGCGTGAATTCTGGATTTTTTAAAAGCAGTTGGCTTTTTTCCACGTTTTTTAAAAAGCGACGTATTCAAAGCATGGCCTCGCAGGGATGACACTGACAAGAAAAGAGTCTATTGCAGTTTCCACCTACAAGGACTCAGGTGGCAACCGCAGATTCCTTGAACTGTCGTCTGTCGCTATGCAAATGCTATCGTTGCCATGGTCCAACGCCGAGATTGAGCGCGTATTTAGCCAGCTTAGCTTGGTAAAAATCCAAGCTAAGAAACTCAATGAGCGAAAGCACGACTGACAGCATTCTAAGCATAAGGTAATATTTTATTTTAAGTAAAAAGATTAATCCGATTCTTATATATTTTATTTTAATATACAGATATGGTTTACGAAGACTGGAAAAATGATGACTACTTCGTAGTATCATTAAATTATCTTCGCATGATCGGAACAAACATATCGTACGATAGCGACACTAATGATAGTCGCGACGAATTAGATGACTTGCTAAATATCTTATAAATAACAATATTAAAAAAGATTTTAAAAAAATATATTGTTTGGGCTTTTTTCTGAATATTTTCATCTTTTTTTCTTTCTCTCCAGTTAAAAACAGCTTTTTGTTCAAAAGTTGGCAGCACTATAGTACACTGGCAAAAATGCACGAAGAAAAAAAAAAAATCTAAAGGTTATGAACAGGTGCGCGGCAAAAACAATATCTATAATATGTCAAGAATCCTATTACACACAGAAAACAAATTTTTGTTTGTCTTTGCATGCAAAAATAACGCAAATGTTTAATGAGTATGTGAAAATTTGTAAGCAAAAAAATATGAGTACACATTTTTAACACTGTCAAGAAACTCTACTCACTTTGGTTTTCAATTCTCCTTTGTTCTTTGCATTTCTTTTCATTTAATTTCGAATTCCTTCTGCACACGTATCAAAAAGCTACTTTATAAATTATTTAAGATGCCTGGAGCTATACGCCATACATTTAGACCCAAAAATATTACGTCATTTTCGCTGATGAGTCAAAATTTAATATATTTGGTCCGAGGACGTTCTTAGCTATGGCGTAAAGCCAATACAGAGCTGCAGGTCAAACATCTAAAACCCACCGTTAAGCATGACGGCGGACACGTTATGGTTTGGGCCTGTAAGTCCGCAGCAGGAGTCGGAAACCTAAAATTTATTGAAAGCATAATGAATAAAAATGTTTATCTTAATATCCTTTAGGATAATTTACTCCAAAGTGCTGAGAAATTGGGAATAAAACAGGGTTTTCGGTTCTACCAAGACAATGACCCAAAGCATAAGTAGGGTATTATTCAATATTGGCTGGGATATAATTGTCCCAATATAATGAAATCTCCAGCTCAGTCACCCGATTTTAATGTTATTGAGAATTTGTGGGCTTTGCGGGACTCAAAAATTCGGGAACGCAATATTTCCAATAAAAATGACTTGAAAACGGCTTTGCTCGAAGAATGGGCTAAAATCACCCCAGGAACCTCAAAAAAATTGGTCGAATCTATTCCCAATCGACTTAAGTCGGTTGTGGACCAAAAGGGCGGACATACCAAATACTAAAAGTTAAGAAAATATTTTTTTTGCAATTTTTTATAATTAATTTGATGAACTGGGTCAAATAAGCTGTGACATTGAAAAAGGCAGTATTTTTAGTTTTTATTGTTTAATTAAGAAGTTCCTTGCTAGAATAAATAAATGAAAACATATTTTTGAAGTTAAAACAACAGTTAACCTTTCTGCGTTTTATTTTGGAGATGCATTAGCTGCAAGGGAGTGGGAGAGCTTGCGTTTATTGAAAACACAATGAATGCTGAGCAATATTTCTCCATTCTCAAAACAACTTTGAGGCAAAGTGCGGACAAACTTGGCCTAATTGTCGATAATAAGCCAAAATACAAATATGACCCCAAGCATAATGAGCTCATCTTTGCCAAACGATGATATTCAATTGATATATATTCATTCCGATTTATAGTATACATGCAATAGAAACACAACCTTTGGGAAAGTTTTCTTTGAAATAACTATTTTTAAGAGGTTGGGCAAGCTGTTTTTTGTTATGGAAAATATGAAACAAATATAAAAAAATATGCAAACGATAAAACTTTTCAAATTTCAAAAATTCAAATGAATTGCATCCAAACTCAACTTAAACTCTCCTTTTTACATCTATGACATTATGTTAAACCTATGTAAAAAATTTAATGACTCAATAACACAGTGTAAATTAGTAATAAGTCAATGGGCAGCAGCTGAAATCGCAGGGTAAAACTGAAAACAAACAGCAGTACGAGTTTGCACTGAATCACTTTAGCTAGTGCCACCAGTGATTATGTCGAGCATTTGGCCCCAAGTCAAGCGCGAATTTATTTGCAATTTTTCCAGCAAGCAACACCAGAATGGCAATTCCGCCATTTCCACGGAAAAGCCAATCCACCCAACGGCCGTCATTGCGTAAACAGCGGCAAGTCACTGGAGTGAAATTGTAAGCCACAAGATAATGTACGCCACAGCGGCATTATTTTTTCATCAGCCGAGCGCTCAGGCAAGTGACAACGAAGTGTGGCTTCAACTTCAAAGCGATTCAGCACATAGATACGTGAGGCAAGTCCGGAATTTTAGATACCCTCAAGACTCGTCTTTCCGAAGCTATATTGGTATCAGTCAATTTATCAGTCGCTTAGCCAATGCGCTACAAGGCATAATATCGGAACTGGGCCGTGTCTTACTTATTGAGTAATCAATAAAAAAGCATCCCTTCTAATAATTTTCACTCAAATATTCTGAGAGATGATGAAGGCTATGTGTAGTTTTTGAACTCTGCGCACTTGTCAGCACTTAAATATATCACAAGAGTCGAAAGTAACGCGTACAGAAGATCCGATGTCCATCAGTTACCTATTCGGCCCCACAGTACATGAGTACATGAGCAATCAGCACACGGTTGACTCAAGCCGCCTCACAAATATTTGATTTCTTCGGTCTGTTTTTATTGCGGTTTCGTCCCCGTGCTCGTCCTTCCCCCGACCCCGTCCCCCAATAGAAGGCCCACCCGCAACAGGTGCGGAATTTCGTTTTCGGGGAAGCAAACTCATTTGCACTTGAGGCCATGGCAACAAGTCTGACTGGCAAAAGCCGGTGGGAGGGCAAGGGGCAGCTAGCCAAATGTTGATACTACCCACCCGAGCAGGGCACGCTGGAATCAACAGCAGGGCCGGGGGGGCAACTTCAGAGCGACAGGAGCCCGAGCTCGCTTCACTTCAAAGCAAATAAATAGGAACTCGAATTTTCCGCTGCTCGCCGCTTTTATCCACTGGAGCCTCGCCTGCGAGATGGCTAATCCGTGCCGCTGGTGTCGCGTGTCGCACGACTGCGTGCTGCAGATTAACGTGGTGCTGGTGGTGGTGGGGCTGATCTTCCTGCTGGACGTGTTCAGCCACCTCTACCTGAAGACGGTCATGTTTCCCGGCCTGCGCCTCTACCCGGTGGCCTTGCGCCCCTGGCTCTTCTGGGTGCGCGGCCTGACGATGGTGGTCTACGTCCTGAACGCGATCCTCGGAATCCGCATGGCCCGGCGGCCGAGCATCTTTAAGTTCGCGGGGTACATGCTGGTGGGCTGCGTGGTGCTGCTGTACACATCCAGCATCGCGGTGACTCGCTTCATGTACCGCCGCAGGTTTGAGTTCTTCGTCCAGATGCTGGTGCTCCAGATGTGGATAGGGGACAGCCTGGGCAAGGTCGAGGTGGAGTTCGGATGCTGCGGCAAGACCAGCGTGGTCGACTACCAGACGGCCTCGTCCAACCGCACTTGGGCCAGTGGCTCCTGCTGCCGGGAGCAGAACTGCCCCGGGTGCACCACGAAGCTCACCGAGTACCTGTGGACTGTCGAGATGGACGTGGCAAGGGACAACATCATCGTGTCCCTGTTTCTCCTCCTGGGGTTGATCGTCATGGTGACGCACTTCAAGGACGTGGAGTTCAACGAAGACCCCTACGACTCTGACGACTCTGAGGAGGATTTAGATCAGAACACGGGCACGAAGAAGACGGACCCCTCCACATCCGGCCGTGACGGCGATTAGGGGCGAAATTAATTACCTCTGCCCGCTCTGGTCAATTGAACTTTAATTCAGCAGTGATAGCCAACGCCTCTGGCCATCTTGTTCCGGCTCATTAATTTGGAACCCAGCAATGCTCCCACATTCCCACATCCAGCAGCGCTTCTGTTAATGCCGCACTTAATTAGCCCTCGAAACAAATGCCACAAATACATTTAATGGCTGCGATATGAGCCTTAGCAAACCAATCGAATAAGGTTTAGGGATTTATAAAGATTTATTTGTCGATTGTCGCTTATTACGTTTAACAAACTTCGGTACAAATGTTAACGTTTTCAACCTTTTAATGGAAATTGGAGTGGGCGGGCAGCAGAAGGGGCTAGCCTGGGAGAACCTATTTTCATAAAATCAAATCTTTATAAACAGCACTTTTCTTTATTTCTTTAAGGCGGCCAATTTGTGTCATTCGCTTTTTACTTTGGGCCTTGGCAAGGGCAAGCGGGGAATGGTACGGGGAAAGTGCCTTAAACCGGGAGGGAAAAAACGGTAAGGAGAAGTGCACGGCGGTGCTTCCGTTGCGGTTTGTCTAGAGGAAGCGCCGCCGAAAAATAAACAGTCGAAAAGGATGCGAAATGTAACGGAAGTGCGCGAAATTTCTGCACATTTTCTACTGAAAATGCTCCTGCGATGACTAGTGGGTGGGTGGCTTGATGTTGGAATGCTGAATGGTCGGGCGAATTGACAGCCGGAGGCTAGAGTGCATTTGCGGGTGGCTGGGAACTTTGTGATATTTTAATGATGTCGACGTTTATGACGTTGGTTTAAAGATTTCGAAATAGTTTGACAGTTAGTCTTTTGAAAAGCAAGAGTGTTTTTCGCTAACGGGGAGGACGCAAGACGAAAAAAAAGGACAACCAACAACTAAAAGCGTAACCAAATCAATTCGGAACACTTAAAACTCATAACTGATGTCTACCTTAAAGACTAAGACCGAGGCTAAGTTATTTAATCGAGTTGATGTTGGTAATCGAGCTAAGTTGATTAATGCCATCAAATACTGTGGCAACAATCATAAAAACCACAACTTAACCATTAAAATCCGCATGTAGCGGCAATCTTCTGTCCGTTTCTACGGAAACTTATCTACCATATAGACAAATGGATTTTATTGTAGTTAGTATAGAAGTTGGAACGTGCCGTTTCTATCTTCCGTAAGCACAATTAAAAAATTTAATTTAAGAATTATAGCATCTTTCGGCTTTAATTTTTGCCAATGGTTAGTCACTTTTGTTTAAACAAAATTATTTTCTTAAATAAATAGTGATATCTTTCTTGAAAACAAGAAATATATTTTCTCAAAGGAAGAAATATTTGCTTAGGAAACCGCCTTTAAAACAATATAATATTTCCTGAAACAATATTCGTCAATTCTTTCTCGAAAACAAGAAATAAAATTGCTTAAAGTACGAAATAAATTTTCTTAAAACCAAAAATAATATTTCTGTGGTCAAATATTTAATTCAATCTCTATTAAACGAAGATGTTGAGTTTTATACAAATGTTATTAGTTTATAAATAACTAAAATAATTAAACCCTTTTAATGGCAGCTATAGGCTATAGTCGGTCGATCCCGGCCGATCCCGGCCGACCCCGGCCGTTCCGACTTATAAACTGCGTGCAACGGAAAGAAGGGTGTGTGCAAAGTTTCAATTCGACATCTTTACAACAGACGGACATGCTTATATCAACTCAGGAGGCGATCCTGATCAAGAATATATATTCTTTATATGGTCGGAGATGTCTCCTTCACTGCGTTGCACACTTTTTACTAAAATTATAATACCCTCTGCAAGGGTATAAAAAGGATAACTGTGTTGGTTAAAATTTTTTTTTTGTTCTTTGGGATTTGGTAGTATTTAAATAATATGGAATTACGGTTTAAATTACATTATCATCGGTCATCTATATTATAAAGCTCCCATAAGAAAATCAAAAAATAAATAAAATTTTTAAAATGAGAAATTAAAATGTAAAATTTTATATATTAAAAGATATATACGGATATGCTCCGAGATATAGTAGTGTACAGTTTCAGAATTACTTTTTTAATTTTATAAAAATCAGACAATAGCTGCCATAGGATCGATCGAAAAAACTATCGCAAATATCGACTGTTTCACTGTTTTAAAACACATATATATCAAAATTGAAATAAAGTCGGCTTAGAGAATGTTTAATTTTTGTAACAGGTGCAAGGGAATATAAACTTTCACCGCAGTGTGCGGCTCTTCTTGGTTAACCTCAATCCCGATAATTTTGTTCTTTTTAATGGTTTTTTGAAAAAATCGGAAACCGAAACTAAATGATAAATTTACCAAAAATTTTAAATTGAAAGTAAACTAAACTAAATGATAAACCATAAATGTAAAATTGCCCTAATGGCAACTATTTAATATATTGTGGTTAAAAAAATTCTGTCTCCCTTGGTCATTGGCAAGCAAAAGGGTACATGGACAATAGGTTAGGTCCTTAGTGCATAAGGTCCCGGGCTCATTTATCAATTAAAGCTTTTAACAAAAAGGTTTGTATGTTAGTATCTTCAAATTACAAGAAAAAAAGGAATAACATTTTTGGTCGATGTACGGATTATGAGTACGCTAGACCTCAATTCGAGAATCTAAAATCTCTCAAGAAGTCGGTTCGCAATTTGAGTGCTCCCCGAGCAGTTCCCATTTTAAGTTCAAGGGGTACTCATTCACGAAAAAGTAGTCTAATTGCTATGCAAGTACGTTGAAATCTCGTCTGCAGACCTTGAGTTGGGTAAACTGTCACCACGAAATAGAAAGGTCGCGTACAAGACAATCTATAGAAAACAAGAAAGGAAAGCTAACTTCGGACGTAGCCGAAGTTGATATACCCTTGCAGAATATTCTGTAAATTATATTCTTCAAAATTATTCATATGATGTATTCTTAATACTCATAAAAAGTCCCAACTTCCTAACTTTAAAAACACCAAAGTTATGGCATTTCCAATCGTTCAGTTATATGGCAGCTATAGGATATAGTCAGCCGATCCTTATGAAATTTGGTAGGTCGGATTGATTGGCCAAAAATAAAACCCATAGAAAATCCCAACTTCCTAACTTTACAAACACCAAAGTTATGGCATTTCCGATCAATCAGTTATATGGCGGCTATAGGATATAGTCGTCTGATCCTTATGAAAGTCGGTAGGTCGGATTAATTGGCCAAAAATAAAACTCATAGAAAATCCCAACTTCCTAACTTTAAAAACACCAACGTTATGGCTTTTCCGATCGTTCAGTTATATGGCAGCTATATGATATAGTCGCCCGATCCGGCTCGTTCCGACTTATATACTACCTGCAATAGAAAGACAACTTTTGGGAAAGTTTCAAGCAGATAGTTTTAAAACTGAGGGACTAGTTTGCGTAGAAACGGACGGACAGACGGACAGACGGACATGGCTAGATCGACTCTCCTGGTGATGCTGATCAAGAATATATATACTTTATAGGGTCGGAAATGTCTCCTTCACTGCGTTGCAAACTTTTGACTGAAATTATAATACCCTCTGCAAGGGTATAAAAAGGAAAACACTTCGGAATGGTTGCTTAGTGGACATGCTTATTCGGACATACATGTCCGTTAAAGAGGCTTTAACTTCCTTTGACATTTTTAGCTCGTTATACTATACCCAAAATTAATGTTATTATTTTTGGAGTTCTGAAATGTGATGGAGAATATACGAAAAACCGAAGTCCTATGAAGACTTTTTAGAGTCCCGCTGACTAAAACAGCAAATGTAATACTTTTGTAAGATTTAAACATTTTTTTTCCAGAGGCTTGCACTATTTTTTAATGTTATGCTCCGTACAATTTTACTACCATATCCTTTTGCTATCAAACGAATATGATAGCATTTAAATCTAGGTACCAGCTCTTGATTATATTGAGCTAGACTGTCGAATTTCGTGCAAAACTACATTTTTATACCCTTGCAGAGGGTATTATAATTTTGGTCAAAAGTGTGCAACGCAGTGAAGGAGACATCTCCGACCCTATAAAGTATATATATTCTTGATCAGGATCACCTCCTGAGTTGATATAAGCATGTCCGTCTGTCTGTCCGTCTGTCTGTCCGTCTGTCTGTCCGTCTGTCTGTCCGTCTGTCTGTCCGTCTGTCTGTCCGTCTTTCTGTTTCTACGCGAACTAGTCTCTCAGTTTTAAAGATATCGAATTGAAACTTTGCACACACCCTTATTTCCTTTGCACGCAGTATATAAGTCGGAACGACCGGGATCGGCCATATAACTGATTGATCGGAAATGCCATAACTTTGGTGTTTGTAAAGTTAGGAAGTTGGTATTTTCCATGTGTTTTTTGTGTATTTTTGGCCAATCAGTCCGACCTACCAAATTTCATAAGGATCGGCCGACTATATCCTATAGCTGCCATATAACTGAACGATTGGAAATGCCATAACTTTGGTGTTTTTAAAGTTAGAAAGTTGGGATTTTTTATGAGTATTAAGAATGCATCAAATGAATAGTTTTGGAGAATATAATTTACAGAATATTCTGCAAGGGTATATCAATTTCGGCTCCGCCCGAAGTTAGCTTTTCTTTCTTGTTTTGGACATATGTTTTCAAAGGTTTGGGAATCAATTTAATTTAGGTTGAGTTTTCCTGGTTCTTAGGTCAGTCTTCTTGAATTTATTCGATTTTTAAGCTGTCGGTTGCATATCCTAAACAACAAAATTGTTTTATTGACAAAGAAGATTTTACATCGATTAAATAATAATAAATCAATTATTTTAAGCCATGAACGCTCTATTCGCATTTTATTATTTATGTATGAATAAAAAGATCACCTAAATTGCAATTAATAAATTTATTAATCCAGTGGATTGCACTTCTTACTTTTAGGGATATTAGGATAGGATGTGCTACACCTTGCAATCATCTTCCTTGTTGAAAAATGTTTTGGATGCAGCTGCAGGCTGTTGTTTCTCAAACCTTTCTCGATCGTTCAAAATTGGGCCTTAAGTTGGGCAAAAGCGTTCTCTTCGATAGTCGAAAAATTTTAATAAATAATGAGACACTATTGTTTAGGACACTTTGTGTTCAAATCCAAAAATACGCGGCTTAGGGCGGTAACGGTAACTAGATTACTTATCGGGAAACGTCATACAAATTAGAGGTGATAATGTACCAGCTGGTGA